ACAGTGAATAATTGTTATCAGGACTGACTGTGAAGGTTGGAAATGTAAAGGTAGACATTTTATAGCAAGGAAGAAAGTGATTAACTTTTCAGTCTAGGAGCAGAGGTCCCTAGGACCATCAACGAACGGAGAAGAGCTGAGAGCGAGACTCTACCCAGAGAAACAGTGATGCCTGAGATGGAGGCAGAGACAATGACGTGGAGCGATGGAGCAGCTGGGGAGCTTTAGATCCAGAGAGGGAGAGCATCTGTGTGCTGAAGACTGGTGGTGGTGGTGGGGGGAGACAGTGTAGGGGACAGGCTTGCCGGGTATACTCTTTGGTTGGTAGATGCATGGAGGGGGCTGTAACCATGGCAATGACACGATGTACGATAGAATGAATGTAAAACTAATGTTCTCCCATGTAAACTATCATATAATTCACAATAAAACACTAAAAAAAAAAAAAAAATTTACTTTATGCTACTTGGCTTTTACAGAAAACCTATACTGAAATCTGTTTTTGCTAAGTGAAAGAAATCCAAAGGGGATTTTTGCTTTTACAGAAAAAAAGTGAAAAGACAAAGCAGCATTCAGTGTTTGTTTAAGAGACAGTACGCACTCTGATCAAAGATAGTGGCGCCCCCAAGATCCTCCCCAGGAAACTGCAGTCGGCATCAATCCGCCATAGCTTGAACTGTCTGTAAATGCTATATGTTATTATGTTGGTTTATGTGTTATTTGATAGGTTATGTTTTGGGTCTTGGAACACACAAAAATTTTTCCCATATAAATCAATGGTAACTGATTCCTCACTTTCTGCCATTCTGAAAGGTTTCATAAGCACACTCTACCTTCAGATAGCAGGGGAAACCTGTAACTGCAAATAGGAGAAGAATCTGCTGACCCCATGCCAAACCCACAAGCGTGTTTTGTTCAATTTAGTCTAATGTTTCGTCACTTTTTACTACCTTTTACAACAGCATAGATGAAAATCTGGGCCTAGATGACATAGTTTTGCTTCAAGGTCAAATAAAAAACAAAATAAAACAACAATAACAAAAATATACACATTTTTCTAAGTGGGTGCGTATAAATATCCAATTTCTTTCTCCATATTAACTTATAGTTAAGTGCTGCCGAGTCAGTTCCTACTCATGGTGTCCTTGTATAGGATTTCCAAGGCTGTAAATCTTTGAAGGAAAAGAGAGCCTCATCTTTCTCCCGCATTCTCTTTTTAGAAATTTATAAATCTTCACTTACATTGACCTTTTAAAAAAGGAATAAAATGAATACCTCGTTCTTCAAATTAAAATTGCTGCAAATGGACACTTTGGTGATAATATATAGATTACAAAATAGGTTTGGGCAACCTACGAAAGAGAAGAGAAAGGATAAAGACTGATTCACAGATTCTCAGGGAAGCCAGTTCACTCAAAGGAAAATCTCACTGTAATCTATACTAAGGTCAAAACGTTAAAAATAAATACTTAACAGAAACCTGTAATTATAAAAGAAGCCTGATATAATCATATTCAACTTCACAAAATGAGACATATCAGTTGAAATGTATTAAGTCTGAATTGTATTTGGGGGAAAAAAAGATTTTAATTTAATTAGAGATTTCAAAGGCTTCTACTGACATTTTCATCTTTCTGCAAATGACAGCAACATTTAAACCTCACACTAATGAACACCCCTCTATAAAACACTCTTTGATTTTATAAAATAAACTAAATTACACTCTTCTTTAAGTGCTTCTTTATATCTTGATGTGAGAAGAAAAAAAACTAGTTTATCTTACTTTGAAGATTTTACAATGGATGATGAGGAGCACATTAAAATTAAATCTATCTAGAAAGAATACGAAAATTATAAATTTCCAATTCCAATGTAATCATTTTTATGTGACCCATTTAAACAAAGGAATTGCTTATATTTAATTACACAAAATGATTTCTAATATAATTAGAATGGAAATGCATACTAAAGATGTAGAAACTTAATCAATTACAACATAACAAAACGAAGTCTACTTCTGCTTGAAATGCATAGCATTTCAAGGCTGACTTTTTGATAATAATAGTTTCCCCCAAACGCAGAATAATTTTGAAATATTTTGATATTATAATTAAAGAATATCAAGTTAAGTGACACTCTATGGTACAGCTAAAATTTCAAATGAGTTTTTCTGCAATGCATATAGTATAGAAATACACTGGCTGTGTGGGTCTGAGGTTCACAGACCTTTAGACATAAAATTTCTTCTCCTAAGAAATAGTAAGACAATCAATAAGCATGTTCAAGTGTTCAGAAAAGATCATTAAAATACACTTAATAAAACTTCAAAGAATCTAATGCTCATTTAAGATAGTCATGCTTCTAAAATATGATAAATCATTTAGGTGAGTCCAAGCAAGAATCAAAGAGTTACTGAGAATATGCAAGCGTTCAGCCATATCCTGCTCTGTGAAGGTAGCTTTATTAATAACAATTTTAATTATTTTATAGATTTAAACAAAAGGATGAGAGCTTAATACCTATACCCTGGTGAAAAAAATAGGCTTTTAGTAATTTATAAATTTCAATGAAAATATTGGATGATAAAAATTTTCTTAAGTTAAAACAACTTAGTTTTCAATGCACTCATGTTTTTACTTTGTAATACAATATAGCTGTCACATACAATGGCTCTGGTAGACTTTAATCAAATTTCAATTGCCATGGAAGTCCAATGAAAGATTTACACAACATTCAATAAGCAATAGTAGCTATTCAGAGTACAATAACAAAACAAAAAAGTACTAACCTAGAAACACAGAAAAAGAATTTATTGTTTTTAAATTCCAGAAATAAAAATAACAGAATATATCATGTAATCCATAACAAACTAGTCCTGTAATTTCTAAACTGCAGTCCAATTAAAACATTTAAGCAATGGCAACAGTCTATACGTTCTATCAGGTAAATGTACCTGAGAAAGTGACCGATAAAGAAACAGGCTTTGACACTCTGAGCTACACAGGACCTTCTACTGTGTCACTGTGCTGACACTGAGCTCTGTGTCAGACATAACACCAGCCATTTCCTACAGATTCTCCTCAGTGCTCAGCGGCAGATTACGCTCCATAAGCAATACAATAGTTCACATCAGTACTAAGCTCATTTGACCAAAGAAGCACAGTAATGTTTTTAAATCACCTGTTTATATCCATCAGCATGTAAAATCACAGGACACAAATATGGAAAGGTTTAATATGTTCATAAATAAGAGTATATTATCTCAGCGTAAGCTTTAAAAAAAAGGTCTATGCAGTCAGTCAGATAGTGGGGGAAGCTGACTCTACATTTTGACTGAAGCTAAGATATTACAAAATTATGACTGTTGTCATCACCAAGAAATAATAAATAAAGCAACATAAGTAGCTTTTCTGGAAGCAAAATTACATCTACCATAATAACAACTCCAAGCAAGAATTAATTTGGAGAATGAATGCAATTTGTGCTTTGTTTCTATAAAAATGCAGTGTTACTTTCAGACATTTCTAAATGACTAGATGTATAAATAAGCAGTTAATTTATTTTCATCAGTTTATTTCTAGTTCATCTTATGCAGACTAGAGATAGCACTAAATATTACCTAGATTTTCCCCCAGTACTTCAACTGTATGAATCAGTAATCTTTTTAAAACAATGATTTATTATAATTCTTAAGGTAAACAACAAAAACAAATTCTCAAATTGTAACTTTATATTAAGTGTTAAAAATTTCATGTCACAGAGCCAATACTTGTTAACAGCATCTTTAATTTCATATTAATAGTCCAATCAAGAACACTAATGACTACCTGGCAATAGAGTAGAAAGAACTAGAATATTTTTGTAAAGGGAACAGAAAAAACATGCAAAACACCCACCCCCACCAGAACACATGATCTTCCTTTTCATTTTGTAATCTAAACTTGTAACATTTTGATAAATACATGATCATTCAACACAATACAGATCTTTTATAGCATTTCTCAAGGAAATTACAGTTTTTGGTCTTAAGGAATACGACTGAGATGGAAAAGAGGATGAAAACAGTGAAATGAGGGGGCAGTGTTCTCTACACTCCAGCACGGAGCTGCTCATCCTGTCAGGTTAGCGCAATCACAGCTCAGTACAGGATTTTCAAGGCAACTAAGAAGGATGGACACAGGTTATTGCCCCTTCCTAGAGTTAACAATGCTTTGAAAAGGTCTGATCTGTTCATAAAGGATTGTTTTTCTTTTTCTGAAAAGGGAACAAAGAATATATATATATATTCCCAAATTTATACACAAGTTAAATGGTAGTTTTAGACTACACAATAAAACAGTCACCATCTGAGGCTGGTGATACCTTAGATGGTCCAAAACATGATCCAGTGAAACAAGTCCATGTTTTTGTGCCACAAACAACTAGAAAGCTTTCCATTACTGTTCTTATGCCATGTTCAGGTAACTCCTTAGGTAACAGACCTCCAAGATAGTGTACCTTCGTACTGAACCTGAATCTTTACTGACAATGGAATGCCAAATTCAAAACAGCTAGGGAAGTAGACTCTTCACTAGAAAATCTCAACCTTGATGTAAAACAAGGAAGAATTGAGTGCTAAATACTAATACCAAATATCTGAAGGCAGGATCTTTGTTTGTGGAAGACAGGGATGTACCTGAATGAAAATCAACCAGCTCAGAACAGAGAATGAAGCATGTTTTTGAGAAAGTGACAGGGAGAAAGAAAGAAGGAAAATAGTAGAGAGTCAGAGCTAGACAGCAAAGAATTATTAGACAGACTGGAAATAAGAGAAAACGTGGTGTGGCATGTGCATGGCTCCCTCTTTCTGTATCTCTGTGTTCCTAATAACTTACAATGTAGGCCAAAACAGAAGGCAAGAATGAGCCTTCTGATGGACAGAGATAAAGATTTGGGGCTAATAGGCTGTTCTGCTTTGTTGGGTTTTTTTTTTGTTGTTTGTTTGTTTGCTTGATTCATACCTGAAAGCCTTGAATCCTTGCTAAATATCCCAGCTGTTTTGAAGGTTGTACTGGAGAACAAGGGGGAGTAGGAGAACTTCCTTTTAAACCTATGGCTTCAGCTGTAGGAGATGTTCCATTCATAAGGAGTTCCCTTGCAATTGAAGCGGAACTATTCGATGTGGGAGATATACTGAAGAAAGAACTTGAAGGTTGGTTCATATCTTTGGGTGACAAATAGCCTAGACTAGTGCCAGAGATTACTTTGTGGCGGCTGGCTTCCATCTCTTGATAAACATCAGGAGACAAATGAAGAATCCCTTTTGGAGCTATAAATAAAATGAGAAAACATGGTTAGCATACTTAAAATAATGAAAACAGAAACAAGCTACAGCATCATTAACTCAATGATTTCACTTGGTGTAGTAACAAAGCAATGCAAAACAGTGCCAATTAGATGTGTTCCCCACACCTACAGAGGCAATTGCAACCTCTATTTAGAGAAGACTCATGCATGTTTTCAATGTTCCTAAAATCTGAAGTTTAAATAATACACAAAGAGATTTCAGTGCACTGTGCGTGTATGTGTGGCTCAGAAGCTATGGAGACAGAAAAGAAATTGATCTGTAGAAGTACAATGGGGGGAGAGAGTAGAGAATATGCAGTGTGTTTGCTTTGAAACGTCATATTTTATGTCCTCATAAGGAGATATGAAACTCTCAACTGCAGTAACTAGGGCACAATAGGTAAAATGAAAGCTGAGTCAATCCAAGTGTCTTCTGCAGTGTAAACCCATATATCCAATGGCCTACTGGTCCTCGCCTCTCCACAAGGACAGCTATCACTACCTCATGTACATGTCAAAAAGTGACAGCATCCTCTTTCCAAAACCAGCACCATCTCCTACTGTGTGCAACTCATTACGGGATCATCATCTATCTGTTCAGTCGCCTAACCTAGAACACTGGCAACCATCTTTGATTTACCCACAACTAAGTAGTTACCATGTCCCATCAAACGTATTTAGAATTTGTTCCTTTATCATCAAATGTATTTGTTCAAGCCAGACCAAGAACAGATTCTAATATCAAGAGAAATGAGCCAAGGCTGTGCCATCAGTTGGTGGACTTTTAAAAAAGATGGAAGAGGCAATTCCCTTTGATGGTAATCTGTCTCAGAGATATTTCACACCACACTTCACACTGTCTCCTCTAATGGTTTTTGATCCTGTATTAACAATTCTCATATCATAATTATGTCCTTTGAAATGACTGAAAATCATACTTTTGGAGAATGTGCTCTGAGAGATACTTCAGCACTCACTCCCTCCTCCGGCACTGGCCTGATTCAAGCCCTCAGAGTTTCTCACCTGGGTTCCTGAAACAGTCTCCCGAGTATCTATGTCCCAAACTGTGTTCTATAACACATTTTCCAGATAAAAGGGTTTCATGATTGTTTTGGAAACAGAAAGTATTGATGGCTGCACAACATGGTGAATATAATTAATGACAACAACAACAAAAAAATTGTTATACATATATTTTTATTACAATATATTTTTAAAGTATTTTAGAATAGGATACCATGATAAATAAATCTGAGTGAAAAAGACAAATTATATCATATCACACATTGCTTCTTGTTGTTGAGTGCCACTGAGTTGGTTCCGACTCATAGGAACCCTGCACAGGGTTTCTGAGGAGCAGCCGGTGGGTTTGAACTACTGATATCTTATAGCACCTCACCATTAGCATAACAAACACTTATTCACCTTGGCTTAACCTCGGGTTTACTAAATTTATTTTATATCCAAGCATTTTTTACAGAGTATTAATAGCATCGAATACTTTGAGAAATGCTAGAGGCTACACAAGTTTGTTATTTAAAGTCATTCATTGGTTCCCCAGCACTTTCACGCCAAGAATCCAAATTCCTTAACATGAACTGTTTTTGTTGTTAAGTGCCCTTGAGTCGGCTCCGACTCATAGCGATCCTGTATAGGGTTTCCGAGGCTATAAATCTTTACAGGAGCAGAAAGCCTTATTTTTGTCCCATAAAGCAGATGGTAGATTCTAACTACTAACCTTAAGGTTAGCAGCCCAGTTCATAATCCACTACACAATGAAGGGTCCTTCACATGACCTACAAACCCCTTAATGATGTGGAAACCACGAACCTCTCTATCCTCAATTATGATTTCCTTTACAAAATCATGCTCCAGTCAGACACTGCATTTGCAGTTCTTCTAATACTTAAGGCTGCTTGATCCCCATCACACCGTGTTACTAAGTCACACAAGTACACACACACATTTGAACTCTTACTCCTATGTTTCAGACACTATGTTAATCAATATTGTCCTGCCCCTAAAGTCAAGCTCAGTCTATTGCTAGAGGGAAGTAAAAAGGGAACTAAATGCAAAAGGCAAAGCTAGAGGAGGGGATGGGCCAGGTTCCAAGGGGACTTTATCCTGGTGGCATTCAAGCACTAAAGAGTTTTTTTAAATCAGTGAAGGTATATAACCAAAGATATACCATTCAACAATTTATACATGTGCAACTAATGCCACTGATTACATTCTTAAAATGGTACTACATTCTTGGTATCTTTTTTCTGAATTCTATTAAAATTCTTGTAAACTCATTACCCTTCAAACTTCTCATCCAAACTTTCCAGTTGCCATTGTTAATTTGATCTCACATAATTCCTTAATTTTTATTTCTTATTTTTGTAATTTAAATAGGTTTAAATAGCTTATGATAATTTTTGGATTTTCTTTATGGCTTTGTGTAATTTTCAAACTCACTACATTAAGATGAGTTAGTTTTATGGTCAGAAAAGAATTTCAATAACTTCTTAATTTAAAAGATTGGAAAAAAATACTGATAATCTCACCAACCAGAAGAAATTACTTTTAGCATTGTGCTTTTAAATGTAGGCTTTTAATTTTTCTCACTCCTGTGTGTTTTTTTGTTGCTGTTACTATAATTTGAAAAAAAAAAAAAATTAAATCACAGGAAAAACATATGACCTTGTCGTTTAGAAAACAATATATACTTTAACTACAAGTTTTAAAATGCATAACATCATTGCTTCTTTAAATATTTCATATTGTCATACATCTAATTTCTTTTTAATTCATTGCAATTATAAACCACAGGAGCATTCTAATAACTAAGTTCTTGTTCACATGAAACACTATTTCCTTCAATGAGAAGCAGAATTGCTAGCTCAAAGGCTATGCATTCTAGGTATTTTGACACTTACTAACACCACCCTCCAACAAGGTGCACTGGTTTCACTCCCACAGAAATATATGAAACGGTGTAATTTTTTTCCCTATTTCAAGACTGGACATTATAATTTGTAGATCTGTGTAACTATCTACAGCAACAGTGACAGAAAGCAGGTCAGTAATTGCCTAGGGATGAAGGCGGAAGGAATGATAGTTACAAATGGTATTGGGATGTTCAGTTCACAGGTCTATAAACATGCCAAAGCTCATCAAATTGTACCATTATGTGCATTTTATTATACTTCAATTATTACTCAATAAAACTGTGAGAAACACTTGCCAATTTGATATGTGAAGATTTATTACCAATTTTTTTTTTTTTTTTTTTACTAGCAGACTAAATACTATTGTTAAGTGTCATAGAGTTATTTCTGACTCATAGGGACCCTGTATAGGGTTTCCAAGATTGTAAATATGGCAGGCTGTGGTTCAAAGTCCAGTTTTTATCTTACAGAGCCACCATGCTCCCATAAATATTATATGTATTTCTAGTTTAAATATAATAACTTAAATGTTATGACTTGAATTTCTATACTCAATTTATGAAACAAACTAACAACACAACTTCAATATTGCTATTATACAGCAGTAATGGGTTTGCCAATACTAGTATTATAAAGCACTCAACACCCTCAACACTCAAGAGTGGAATTACATCACAGTAAGAACTCACTCAGAGTTTAGAATCTCTTATTCTCTGTCAAGCCTGAGTTGGCTTTTCTTTACAACTAAAGAAGTTTCCTTTCTACAAAGATATACTAACATAACTATAGTCACTGAAAGAGTATAAAGACATATGTGGATTTATGCGGCCACCTACTGGATGATCAGTAACAGAGTGAAGTTAAGTTTTTCCTGATGTGAATGGAAGTGTTTTTTAATAGGGTAAAGATCTAAAAATACAATCAAGGTATAGTTTAGTAAGGTATACAGAGTTATGGCCAACTAAGTCTCCTGAAAATCTACACCATTATATAGTTTATTAGCAATGTGTCTATCTGAAACAGTTTCCTACACATCTCGCAAACAGGCTTTAGTTATGCTCAACAATCCTTGCCACTCTGTGATAATTCACTATTATCTCCATTCACTTTTTGTTTTCTTCTTTTACTTCCCCATTTTCATTTACTTTTATCTGAGAATAAAATTTTTTCCCTCCATGTAACCATTTTACATGTGTCTTTATGGATGCATCTTTCTTCCTGTTGGTTTAATATTTTATTCATGGGCTTAAACCAATGCATTTACCTCACTCAAGTTTCTGGAAGTACATTAAAGAATGCATAGCTAATTTCTTTAAACAGGAAGCTTGTTGTTACCTTTGATACCAGAGCTTGGGGGGGGGGGGAATGTGTGAATCTTACCGTATGTTTCCACAAATCAATTTGAATTCTTGCAATAACTATGTTGGACTAAATATTTTGCTTATAAATATTAAAATATCCAATAATACTTAGGTCCACTTCTATCACACAGTTTTTCATAACAAAAACATGATGTTATTTCCCTAAAAACAAATACATTCTTTTAAAATTCCTAATTATAAAGAATTTTTTATTGAAAACAAGAACTGTTGGTCCAAAACTGGAAATATGAAAAAGTATGAACAGCAACTGCAGAGTAATGGCTCCAGAAATGTTGCCCCAGGGTAGAAGCAGTACAAGAGAACTTCCAAAGCTCTGCCAAAGAGAGTGTTGGTAAATTCAAGTCGAAAAGTGCTTTCAAAAGACAATGGGAGACTTTAGTAGTAAGAAATTAACAGGAGCTTGGTCGCTTCATGAAAGTGAGAAGGTACACAATAAACTAGCAAGTTTGCCCTAGAAAAGCAGGGGAGAGAAAGTGAAAACTTGCACGATCAGAATAAATCTCATAGACTGGCCTCAAAAATTATCCTGACAGACAGACTCCTGTGAACCCGGGTAGAGACCTGGTTGGCCAGCAGTGTGGCAAGACCTGAGGACTCCTGGGCCCAGAGTCAGTGACATAGCCACAGAGTACTAGAGTAGAGAGTTAAGCATCCAGCTGATAAGAAGA